ATGCCCAACTAGTCTCATGTCGCACGCCCACGGTCGTTTGACTCCGCCCCACCAAGCATGTTCTGCCACCACGCAGCCTTCCGAACACAGGGCTGGCCCGAGGAAGGGAGGCATGCCACAACGACGTCCCACACTCAACGAGGTTCATGCCGCACGCCCGAAGGCACCCGGCTCCACCCCACCTTGCATGTTTCATCATCGTACCAGCAGACATCCACGGTCCTCACACCAGAGAATCCCAGTTTAGAAGGCAACATTGCAACGTCCCGCGCTCGACGAGGCTCATGTCGCACGCCCAAAGGCACCCGATTCCAACCAGCCGAACATGTCCTGGCACCGCACGCCTTCAAAACATAGGGCTGCCCCAAGGATGGCCCGACGGCGTCACAACAACGCCGCACGCTCAACGAGGCTCATGTTGGACGCCCGAAGGCACCCAACTCTACCCCACCTTGCACGCTTTGTCGTCGTTCCGACCATCCACCATCCCGAAGGCAGCCCAAGTTAGAAGGCAACATCGCAACAGTCCCATCTCAACAAGGATCACGTTGCACGCCCGAAGGCAAGACCGACAAATACCTCGAACCCGCAAGTTTCGCCACCGCACCGCCGCCGTCAACCGCCGTCGTCCGCCATCCGCCACCCCCACACCCCAAGCATATGCCCATGTGCGGCGCATAGTGCTTGGGGCGTGGGGGTGGCGGAGGATATAGGGGGCGCCCCGGTGGCCAGCCCATGCAGACTAGTCACCCCCCTATATAGTACATTTTGAGGCATTTTTGGTCTGCCAGGCCTAGACACGATTTTTCTGAGGCGTCATACGGTCGAATATCTCGAGTTTTACAATGTTTTTTTTCCAGGAACTCGATTGATTCATGAATGGGACATTCTAATGGATCTACAAACCAAGTTTCATAATTTTTCAACCAACCAATTTTTTTTAATGAATTTTTAAATATTAAATAATGAGAAATTAGAAAAAATAGCTAGAGTCGTCAAAAAAATCTGAAATTTTGTGGGAACCATGTTTTCATGTTTCTTAGCTCCCAGAAAAAAAATTACAACAAACCGACCACTCCACACGTACTTTCGCAATTAATGGGTGATGGTTGTAAGCACAAGGTCATGGTGTAGTGTACTTGCTGTAGAAATTTTGTGGGAATCATTCTTTCATCTTGCTTATCTCCCAGGAAAAAAATTACAGCAAACCGATCACTCCACACGTACTTTCGCAATTAATGGGTGATGGTTGTGAGCACAAGGTCATGGTGTAGTGTACTTGCTCTAGAAATTTTGTGGGAATCATTCTTTCATCTTGCTTATCTCCCAGGAAAAAAATTACAGCAAACCGATCACTCCACACGTACTTTCGCAATTAATGGGTGATGGTTGTGAGCACAAGGTCATGGTGTAGTGTACTTGCTCTAGAAATTTTGTGGGAATCATTCTTTCATCTTGCTTATCTCCCAGGAAAAAAATTACAGCAAACCGATCACTCCACACGTACTTTCGCAATTAATGGGTGATGGTTGTGAGCACAAGGTCATGGTGTAGTGTACTTGCTCTAGAAATTTTGTGGGAATCATTCTTTCATCTTGCTTATCTCCCAGGAAAAAAATTACAGCAAACCGATCACTCCACACGTACTTTCGCAATTAATGGGTGATGGTTGTGAGCACAAGGTCATGGTGTAGTGTACTTGCTCTAGAAATTTTGTGGGAATCATTCTTTCATCTTGCTTATCTCCCAGGAAAAAAATTACAGCAAACCGATCACTCCACACGTACTTTCGCAATTAATGGGTGATGGTTGTGAGCACAAGGTCATGGTGTAGTGTACTTG